CCCCCCCCCCCGTCCCCACTCCAAACAGACATACCAGGCCACTTGGTGATGGCCTACAACCCGCCAAAGAAGAGGTTAACCTGGCAGAACCCTTCTTGTGCCAGATAGAAAATTCTGCCCTCCAAGAAACCCGACCACCCCCGTGGCCCACCCCCACATATGCCGGCCTGTACCCTCCTTTTGTGTTGCCCTGCCTGCATTCTCAAGGGTGGGGGTTGGGTTACAGTACTTTTGAGTACTAAGGTCCTGAGTCACTCTAAACCTTTGTGCCAGTGTGCTAGGGTAGTGGTGTATAGGCTGTGGCCTAATTTGAAGATAGCCCTCTCCTACTTCTGATATAATGATTGCCAAGGGCCCGCCCCCATTCTGATTCAGGATAACATCTTTGTCATCACTTGCACTCGCCATCTACCATGAGGTCCCAGTTGTCCCTGCTGTCATCCCAATGCCTTCAAGACTGGGAACTGACATACAGTTCCCTGGGCAGGTGGAAGAGAAGGAACAGAATCTTGGCCTCACAGCCTGCCTTCCCTGTTAGCTTATTCAAATGGAGTGGTTTAGGGATATTGGTGGATGCTGGGTAATGAGGTAGGGTGGTCACTGCTTCTGTCTGCAGGCCAGGAACGAACCAGATGTTTATGAAACCAGCGACCTACCTGAGGATGATCAAGCGGAGTTTGATGCGGTAAGACCATGTGCTGCTTCAGGACTCCTCTGGACCCTAACCTCTCTCCCCTAGGCAGACCCTTTCCCTTTTCTGGTGAGCCACAACAATAAGCGGGTATGCCAACCCAGCCTGGGAGGTATGTAGGTTGCAATGAATCATGCCAGGAAGGAGATTGAAGTCAGTGGAATTATAGCCAACAAGTCCTGATCCTTGGGTTTTTTAAACAAAGTCGAAATATCTCTCAAAACAGTTTAGTTTGGGGCTAGTGATTTAGGTAGACCTCTGGATGCTAATCCATGGTAATGAATCATGGAGTCTGAGCACTTACAGACTACTTGAGGTTAGGAACTAGGCCTTTGATTTCATAAAATATTTCACTCAATACATGTCCATTAGTGTATCCTACGAAGAGCTAGATTTTGAAGTGTAGAGGAATACACTTTTATATGAATACCCAGTATCCTTTGAGCAAGGAGTGAGAAAATGATGTGGAGATTGTAGAAAGATAAGGAATATGGTCAGAGAAAAAAAAAATTGAGAAAGAACATAAATATTTCATATCAGCAAAGGAGAGTGTCTTAGCACTTTCAGATCTAAGATGAACTCTGAGGAAGGAATTAGCTGTGGACACATTTTAACCATGAGGGGAACCACTTAGCATTGTTTATTGAATGTGTTCATTCTGTGTCGGTTTTTGTGCAATGCAGAGGAATAAATGTCCCTACCCTCAAGGATCCCCCAGACGAGTGAGGGAGTTAGGATACATATAGGAAACATGTAGTAAACAAAATTAAGTGAATGGAAACCAACACAGTAAAAACTTGTATGTTAAGGGCCAAGGAGAACAAAGGTCTACTAGTAAAGCATGTCTTACAAGATGTGTTTTAGGTTCTATTCCAAAGAGAACTGGGCTGAGGTCACATGGATGATAAAGCAGGCTCAGTATGTGTGTCTGTAAGTCCTGTGGCTCTGTCTGTGGGGCTGGTTAATCCTGGAGAATGCTGGCTGCTGGCTTATAATGTATGGCTTGGCGTACTCTCTTATTCCTTACTTGGTTTCCCCTGTGTGGAAGTGGTTCCTACTTTGTGGGAACACCTTCCCTGTCTCCTCTCAGTGGTGTGTTCCTTGTGGCTTCTGTACTTTCTGGCATGTCAGTCTGTCCCCCAAGCTTGAGTATCTGGAGATAATGCAGATGTTGTCATTGCTGAAAGACCTGGGTGTGCACCTGTCACTCCAGATGTATCTTATTAGGAAGCTGCCTTTGACCTCACAGAGCAGGCGTGTATAAGCTGAGGACTTCAGTCCTCTGCCCTGTTTCAGAGACGGTTCAACTTTGGCCTAGGCCTCTGCCTATAAAGTATCAAGCCTTCATGGTGAGATGATCAATGGAAGTTTGTCCATTTGTCACTGACTAGCATACAGACTGGCAGTATCACAGCAATCCCCTTTCCAAACCAAAACATACATTGTAGTTTTCCTTTTGAAAGTACTGGAATATTTCTTAATAAGATGACAAGCGTGGACGCCCCTGAATGTGCAGCCGTGATTGGCTGTTTCTCCCCGTTGAAAAGCTTATTTCAGTAGTAAGTGGGGTGGCTGATAGGGAGAGGATACCCAAAGTGTTCATGTCCTGCAGCATACTGCCTAGGATGACAGAATAGGAGTGATGGGAGCTGGATGGTACATGCAGGAAGAGTCGAGTTGCCTGTGTCACCTAAGGCTCAACTAAATGACTCTTCATCACTAGGCAGGAGTGGGTGAGGTGGGGAGACCTTCAGCTGCTTCAGGAGCCCAGGTGGGGGCAGGGAGCTGAGATGTTTACTGATGTCAGCTAATTTCTCTGGCCTCTGGGTGTCCCTGTGGGCCTTAGGAGGACAGCTTTCGGGAAGTCAGCTGAGTAATGGTTCTGTTCCTGCTCTTAATATTGATGTAAATGTGCAACTTGAAGAGATGTGAGTTGTACTTAGTCCAGAAACCTCGTGTTGGTGAGGTCTGGATTGTCACTAGCAGCCTATAGCTTTTTCACCTGCCTTCCCAAGACCTAGCACAGATGACAGTGCACATCACCAGTATTGTGGCTGAACCACGAGGTTTTCAGTCACCTTCCTAACTCCCAGCAACGGAATGTTCTGCCTTAGTCTCCAGATTATTTTCAACTTTAATTTTATCAGTTTTTAAAATAGACAATATAGGCACATAGAGCTAAAGGGTCTTCCTAGCCCTGCCTGCCACCACTCCGTTCCCTTCCCTGAAGACAACCAATATGACCAAATCCTTATGGAACCTTTTGGGGGATCTCCAGATTTTTATTTAAAGAAATAACCAAAGTGTTGACCCTCACTATCTTTTAACCTCCTTCCTCCGATTTTCCCACTGTGGAAAAAAAAAAAAAATGAGGTGCTGGAGGAGATAATGTCCTCTAACATCCCTTAAAGATTGTAATTGCTAGTTTAACCTAAACGTAAAGGTATTACAGTTCTCATAGTGGGGAGGATGAGGGAGGAAAGTAGTGTAAAAGGTTTAAGTTTTGCTAAAGATGATCCTGATTTTCCTGTTATCCCTTTAAAACAATTTTAGCAGGAAGTAAAATATTCTAAAATGAATGGGCCAGGCAGATGCACAGGCTAGCCCTTTCCTCTTCAATCTGGGAGAATCTCATCTCTGTATCTCAGACACTCCTAGGTCGATCTGGGTGCGGGGCTGTTTGGAGACTTCTTTAAAAATGTCTTATAAGGAAAGTTAATTCCCAACTGGAATTCCCTCCCTGCTGGGCCCACAGCCTGCTTTGGGTCGGTAAGGCATTCTGCTCATGGCTTTTGAACTGCTGGAGCAAGGAAAGTAAACTTAGAAAACCTCCCTAGAAACAGGGTATAGTTTCTCCCTTTATGCCTTATCCATCTCTAATGCCATGTGAAAGGGGAGACGTGACCTAGCCATAGTTCAATGGGGCCCTGGCAGAGGCTGTTCTTCAAAGGGCAGATACTGCGGAACCCTTCCCCGGCCCGAGATGAGAAACAGTACGTTGTCTTCCTTATGGTTTGAGATATCATAGAGTTTGCTTGATTGTGTTCATTGACTGTTGGCACTCTTGAACTTACCTGAGTTTTTCCTAATGCTTCCCCCATCCTCCCTCCTCACCACCTTGCCTGGACACTAGTTTGCACAAGTAAGACCATTCGATGCTTCTTCTCTGCATGTTTTTTTTTTCATCTGCCATCTTGCATGCAATGCGCTGTCACTGTGCTATTGGTGTAGCTAATCGTTTTACATTCTATTGAGTCCCTAGCGGAGTCACTAAGGGGCCTGCTGGCCTTGTGTTTAAAAATCATTAATCCAGGTTTAGAAGTACAACTATGGTCCATGAATCATTGTCTCTTTCCCTTATGGGGTCTGCAAAATAAAACTGTCCAGTGGAGGATGGAATAGAAACATGGAGGCTAGGAATGCTTTTGGATATGAGGCATTTTAGAGGCTGGAGTTAGAAGGGGGTTGGCTTTTTTCTCCTCAGAGTGAAATGAAGTTAGGAGAAAAGGACTGTTAGCCATTCTGGACAAGGGTGAAGAACAAGGAGGACAATCACAGTCCTCACTTCCTAGCTGTATGTAGATTACCCCTTGGAAAAACTCGTTTTAATGTTCCTGTGCTAAGCCTTTAGACAGAGGTAAATGGGATGGAAAAGGAGTGTTACGTGCAATTTTAAAGTAATAGCTTGGGTTATTTGTGCTTTCATGAGTCTCTGTTTCTGTACCCCTCCTGACCATGGATGAATGGTCAGCATTGTGTTGATCCATCCTGGACAGTTTTATTCTACAGCACTCTCCAACTTCCTTGTCATCGTGGTTCTGAAGTTCTCCTGGTTGCAGTGTTGGCATAGAGCTCAGAGAGCAGCAGTGGCCTCTTTCCCTGTCTGATCTAGAACCTCAGGTCTTGCCCTCTGAGGCACAGCCATTAAGCCAAACAGTCCTGGGGAGTCAGGGGGTCCATTAGTGAGAGGGACTGGAAGTCATGTACCAGGTAAGCTGGTACCTGAGTTCAGGGCACTTCGAATTTTCCAATCGAGGTGGCTGGGTGTACTGTTTCCATGGTGACTGTCACTACTCTAGGTTATAAGAATGATGATGAGGAAAAACTCATCATCCCACAATGCACCTGTGGGACAGCCCTGGAGATGGTATATACTGTTTACAAACTAATATACCACTTTTCCTTTTCTTTGATTTTCTGTCCTCCCCCATTCTGCTTGTTCCTCATGATTTGAACTTGAGTTTACGGCTCAATGTTCTCTCCTTCTTTGAGTTTCTCCCAAGCTGGTTTTAGCTTGGTGGGGCAAGTAAGAGAAAGGTAGTGTGTGTGTGTGCCTCCCCTCGTATGTTTGCATGCGTGCACCTGTGAGTGCTTCTGCTCACTCTGCGCAGAGACATCCCAGTGTAGACCACAGGGCCTGGATCCGCCTCGACCCTGAGCTGAAACAGGAGTCTTGGATTAGCTGGACCCTGGCATCAGACAGGACGGAGAGGTTGAGGCTCAGGTGTACCTAGCTGAAATCTCTGGGGCAGGAAGCACTTGTCTTTGTCCCAGCATGCATTTTCATATACACAGCCATCTTCAATCCTCCACCATTCTGTGTGCCCATCAGTAGAGCTCCTGGAGAGGCAGGGCATACAGCTAGATTTCCCCTCCTGGCACTTCTTCACCAATCTTGCTTAGAAGCGAGAACTTTATCTATGTGGCTGGACTCAAGGAAGGCCTCTTTAAAATATTCTCACCTTTCCCTCTTGTCCACCCGCTAACTTCTGTGAACCTTGAGAACAGAGGGTTGAAGAAACATTTTCTGCACATGTGCTGGTAGCCCGTGAATCTTGGTGTCCTCTACACTTTTTGTGCTAGCACATCGTGGCCCAGTTGCTCTGGTTCCCTCAGTGCTGCAGGGCGAGTTACCAACTAATCAAGATGGATACAAACACACTGGACTATCCAAGGGACCAGGACTTGCCCTGTCTCTACTCTGACAGCAGAGAATGAGAACGGAGCTGCAATTAGGGACTTCATATTTCCTGAAACTCACCATCTCCTGACATATTTTGTTCTGCCTAACCTAAAGTCATATCAAATCATCCACATGGGCACCCTCATTGTCACCAATTCTGCCATCCAAATGTCTAATTCTTCAAGACTAGAGAAACCAAGAGACAGCGAGACTTGAACCATGAGCTCCCACCTTGAGAATTGTGAGCCCTCAATCAGCTACATGTCCTCAGAATCTCCATAGCCTCTGCTTCGCATTCTGCCTTGTCCACCTCAGCCTTGTCTCCCCCCACTTTCCTGTTCCATGCCACTAGCTTGCAACATCTCACTAGTTCCCAGATGATCTTAAATTGCTGCCAATGGCAAAGCTTCATGACAGTCTCCCCACCAGAGAGGAAAGGGTCCCAGGCTCTTCTTTCTCTTGGGGTATGTGGTGACTCCAGCTGAAACTTCTTGGCCCCCAAATTTTGCTAGGCTCCCCTGGGCCCTATGGTGCAGTGTGTTTGAAGCTATCATATAGTGCATGTGACAATTTGCTAATAACAATTTTGTCTTTTTTTTCCCTCCCTCACCCCCATTTCCCCACTCCCTTTCCTTTTAACTCTTTTGATTTTCTCACCTCTGGGGAAACCACAAGGAGCTGGTAAGAAGCCTGACCTTTCATCTGCTTTTTAATGGGGTGTGCTGTGATGGGCAGTTGTTCCTCTGTCCTTTTGTCTCTGCTAAATCTTTAATCCCTCTATCCAGCCCCTCCCCAGCTGACAGCCTTTTCCCATCTTCCAAGTCACTGTAATGATACTGCCCCTAGCCCATGCCCCCAGATCTCTGAGACACTGGTGGAGTGGGTGCCACTGGAGGACTGAACAGTGTCGGCCACCTGAGTCTCTGGGGCCACATCCTTGGAGAGGCTCTGAGACGATGCCCGCGTCGGGCAGCTCCTCTCCTGATCCAGGACATGGTCCTAAGTGGGAATAGTGACATGAAAGCACTGTTCCTTCTTGTCACCGTCCAGGACCTCTGAGACTCACGGTCTGTGTGTTGATCCTTTTCTGCTCGTCTCCTTCCCGATTTAGGAAGCATGTAAGAAAGTAGGTTCTCATCAACATAGTGCCTGGCCCAAAATAAGGGCTTAACAAATGGTATCTATGATTAATTTCATTCCTTGGTCTATAGTCTGTGCTTCCCATTTCTCTTTTTAGGAGGATTTTTTTTTTTTTTTTTTTAATGGATTTCTACTTCATTGGCCTTGACTGGAGCACTCACAGGGAGGAGTGGCATACTCTTGATTATGAACTTAAGAGAAGGTTGTTGCCACTCCTGATCAGGAGTCCTTCTCAGACAAGAGAGGCCAGAGACTACTCAGTTATTTGGCCTGTGGGTGTTCTAGCCGAACATTTCAGAGAAGGTTAAAGAGCTGATAATTTGGAGCCCAGTTGTCTCTTTACCCTTGCATTATGGGACATCGAACCCTTTTGTTTTCCCTTAATCTTTAGCTCTTGCCCCTCTGCTCAGCACTTCCCTGAAGAAGAGGTAAAGATCAAAGTTGATGTTTTCTCCTTACTCCATCCTTTCCCTTATTTTTAAAGCTGCCACTCACACTGATTCCTTCTCCAGTAGCAGACCGGAGATGCTGCTGCTCTTCATGATGTCTCTCCATCATCATCCTCCACCCCACCCCCAATACCCACACACAGGCAGAGACTCTGTCCAGTCCCGGCTGCACATTAGAATCATCTGGGTAGCTTTTCAACAGGCCTGCTATCCCAACCCTACCCCAGAACAATTAAATCAGAATCTACAGAGGCGAGCCCAAGCCTCTTTTTTTAAATTTTAATTGTCTTTTGATTTGTTTTTACATTTTCTAAGTGATGCAACTGTGCAGGCAGGGGTGAGAACCATTGTTGTAGTGAAAGGAAAGACTCACTTTGCCTCCTGTAGAAGATGGAGATGGCATCCTCAGCACAAAAGAACTTCTGGTCTCCTCCCTGCTCCTTCAGTAATGTAGAGAGAGCTGTCGGACTGCTGACAAGTGACGGGGTTGGGTAGTTTGGAGTGCCCCGGCTTGGTGTAGTTACTGGAATCTGAACAGCCAGTCGATAACTAGTAAGGAGGGAACCTCTCTGCTTCGGTCCCTAGGGTAAATTGTCTTTATCCTTCTCTTCACCACGCGCCCTATTTATGGAAGAGCTAGTGCTTGAGACACGGCCAAGGACTCAGGGAGAACAGTTAGGTGCTGCAGCTTCTCTTCGAAAAGATGCTGGGCCACCTCCATGTCAGGACCTAGGCGTGGCCCTTACCCACAGGTCCTCGTGGCAAGCAGATGGCACATACGCTTATCGCTTCTAAGATGTCCCTTAGAGAATACATTACTCTCTTGCCTGTTTTCTGTGTGCCCTGAACTCCCCACCCTCATGGCAGCCTGGAAACAGGGCTGCTGGTCAGGCCCTCTGCCAACCTTCCTCTTGTGTCTAAGAGTTGGTGTCTTCCCTTCAGCAGCGTATTCACCCTGGGAGTTAGCAGCTTGCTTGTCTGCCATCCTTCCTCTCCCCAACCCCCAGGAGGATGGAAGGTTAGCTTGAAATGGCCTTCCTCAGCAGCAAGGAAATTTACTTTCGGGAGGGGGAGGTTAAAAGAGGTCAGGTTGGTTTCTTGCCCTGAGTGCATGGTGTGTGCCAGATAAGCGGGAGGGCCCAGTTGGATGGGGTCGGGGGATGGGAGGCTTATGTACAGAGTGGGTGGGGAGGTTATGCTACCTCTGTTCCCACTTGAATCAGGGTGTTAATATTTATACAACTGAGACTAAATTTACCGGGAAGCTTCCGTTTCCTAGGCTGAGCCTAGCTCAGCAGCTTGGAGTGGAACTGCCCTTCTCTTCCCTTGGGAAAGTAGGGCCCAGTCTCCTCTAATGGTTTGGGGATTTTGTGGGGTCAGGGAAGTCTGGGGGGAGAATGAATCTGCCCTTGGCCTAAACTACCTATTCCTGCAGGAGGAGCTGACGAGCACAAGTGTGGAGCACATCATTGTCAATCCCAATGCTGCCTATGACAAGTTCAAAGACAAGAGAGTGGGGACAAAGGGACTTGGTGAGACCAGGCTGGAAATTGGTTGGGGGGAGGCCTATCCTCAGGCGGTGGTGACTTTTGCTTTGGGGAAAGGGTCGTTCATGGAGATCTCTCATGGTAGCCCTGACAGTCAAAGTCACTTGAGCCCATGACTGCCTTGGGCCTAGATCAGGCCCTCAATTCTATCTTCTTTTCTTGGCAGATTTCTCAGATCGTATTGGAAAAACCAAGAGAACAGGATATGAATCTGGAGAATATGAGATGGTTTGTTGTGTGTGTGTTGGTGGGGATGGTACAGTGATCCTGTTTAGGAGAGAAACCAAAGGATACAGTCAGGCTTCTGAGTTTTTCTCTCATTAGGGGTCCTGAGGAACCCAGCAGGATACAGTCGGGATGCTTAGTCCCCCTGCTGTTTGCTCTGGAGAGTCTCCAGGCCTCTAGCTACCTCCAGTTTTTCTGTACTAGGCTGTTGTGAATTCTGAGGTGGATAGGATACCCTTATAACTTGGGCCCAGGGTTTGGATAAATTCTTTTCTCTTTTTTTTTTTTCTTTTTTAATTTTAATATTTATTTATTTTTGAGAGATAGAGAGAGACAGCATGAGCTGGGGAGGGTCAGAGAGAGAGAGAGAGACAGAATCTGAAGCAGGCTCCAGGCTCTGAGCTGCCAGCACAGAGCCCAATGCGGGGCTTGAACCCACGGGCCGCGAGATCATGACCTGAGCTGAAGTCGGACGCTCAACCGACTGAGCCACCCAGGCACCCCTTGGATAAATTCTTGAAGCTCCCTGTATTAAGAGGTGTAACTTCCCTGTCTGTGCTTGCTCTCTAGCTTGGAGAGGGTCTGGGAGTGAAGGAGACCCCACAGCAAAAGTACCAGCGACTACTGCATGAGGTCCAAGAGCTGACAACTGAAGTTGAGAAAATCAAGGTAACTAAACTCTCTTCTCCCCTCTCTGCTCTGACTTATGTCACAGAGGAGGACCTCACAGCAGGAGGAGAAACATTCCCTAAGCAACTGGCTAAGGGAGCTGAGGTTCCTAGATTTAGGAATATACATAAATCTACATTCAATGCCACAGATGGGTGAGAACCATCCAGTGACTTCCAGCCACTGCTGTTTTTTTAAGTTTATTTATTTTGAGAGAGAGAGAGGGAGAGAGAATGAATGGGGGAGGGACAGAGAGAGAGGGAGAATCCCAAGCATGCTTCCAAGGTCAGCACAGAGCCTGATGTGGGGCTCAAACTCATGAAACTGTGAGATCACCACCTGAGCCGAAATCAACAATCGGACGCTTAACCGACTGAGCCACCCAGGTGCCCCTAGCCACAGCGATTTTTAAGGGTCTTGATCCTCTTTTTTTTGGTCTTGATTCACACTTGCCACCCCTCATTGTCTACTTCACACCAGACAACGGTGAAGGAGGCGGCCACTGAAGAGAAGCTGACCCCCGTGGTACTGGCTAAACAGCTAGCAGCCCTGAAGCAGCAGCTCGTTGCTTCCCACCTAGAGAAGCTGCTGGGACCAGATGCGGCGATCAACCTCACTGACCCCGATGGAGCTCTGGCTAAGTGGGTGCCCTACGTGGTTGGGAAATCATTGCTGATTGGGGCACAGGGGGACTCAGCCAGGTGCTGGCCAGGATACTAAGGGGAGAGGTAGCTCAGTTTTTCCTTAATGCTGAACATGAGGCAGAAATGACAGTGACGGGGCTGGCCCACATGCTTCAAGACTTGATCTTATTACTTGGTCTCCTGGCCCAGGCGCCTACTGCTGCAGCTGGAAGCAACAAAAAACAGCAAAGGAGCTGGTTCAGGGGGAAAGACCACCAGTGGGACCCCTGCAGATAGTAGCCTTGTCACTTACGAACTACATTCTCGGCCCGAACAGGACAAATTCTCTCAAGCTGCCAAAGTAAGTATGGGCGTAAGGTGGTTGGGGGGCCAGGGTGAGGTGGCCCTAAAGACTTTCCTGCCTCCCTCCAAGGGATCAGATCTGAGGAGAGGGTGCCGGGAATGCTTCTGATTCCTCTTGATGTCTTGTTCCAGGTTTCCCTCACCCATCTGCTTTCAGTTAAGATTTTAAGATTGTGACTAGGGATGTGTTCCAGAGAAAGGAGTCCCTGGGCAGAGTAGAGAGGAGGAGAGAGGGGAATGGCAAGTGGACAAGCAGAGAAGAGCAGGATCTTAGCGCCCGCTGCAGCAGCAGGGAGGCGGGTGGCGAATCGCACCTCCTTTCTCCTCTCTAGGTTGCAGAACTTGAGAAGCGCCTGACAGAGCTGGAAGCGACCGTCCGCTGTGACCAGGATGCTCAGGTCAGGTGCTCTCCTCTACTTAGTCTGACCCTTGGATCCCGCACCCTTCTTCCTAATGTCCACAGCATTCCACAGAACCCTGGAAAGAGTGGGAAGGGCTTCAGTTATCGGACCAGCCAGTGGGTTGCCAGCTAGAACCAGAAAGGATGGGAGAAGGTAATAATCATGTGGAGATACAAGAACCACTGATTTCTTTCCTCCTTTTCCCAACTAGAATCCCCTTTCAGCAGGTCTACAGGGAGCCTCTCTTATGGTGAGTGTAAAAGGAACCAGTGTTAGGATTACAGAGGTGATACTGGGATCGGGTTTGCTTGGAGAACTGTGTTTGGGTGTGTAGCTCTATACTTAATTCCCTTCAGTGGAATAGGGGGTGGGCTCTTCTAGTCTGATCCTTTCTCTCTCGTGAAGTTTGTCCCAACCCCCACCCCCAGGAGACTGTAGAGCTGTTGCAAGCAAAGGTGAACGCCCTGGACCTTGCAGTTTTGGACCAAGTGGAGGCTCGGCTACAGGTACTAAGTGGAGGGCAAACTGGATTACAGGTATCTTGGACTTTGGAAGCCCTGGGTGCCCTGTCAACCTTAAGTCTGTGTTTTCAGAGTGTCCTGGGAAAGGTGAATGAGATTGCCAAGCATAAAGCTTCTGTAGAGGATGCAGATACACAAAGCAAGGTCAGGAAGAGCCCTTTCCCTCATTTTTATACCCTTTCCTGTTCCCTCGTGTTCTCGGAGTCCTTCTGGTGGTCCTGCCAGAGCGTGGGAGCATTGAATCCCAGGTGCTGTCTTCATAAGCTCTGATCAGCTGAGAAAGTCAGGGCAGTGTTTCAGTCCTGTCCCACCCTACTGAAATGACCCGTGTGTACTTCACTCAGCCACCCCCTCTGGGCCCTGTCATGTCCCCCCCCCACCCCCAGGTGCATCAGCTATATGAAACCATACAGCGCTGGAGCCCCATCGCCTCCACCCTTCCAGAGCTGGTGCAGAGACTTGTCACCATCAAGCAGCTGCATGAGCAAGGTGGGAGGCCGGCGGCCAGGGGAACTAAGAAGTGGAAAGTGGGCAGTCTTTGTTTCCTTCCCTCTTGTCTTGGATTCTAACCTCACCCGTCTCTTTCTTACCTTCTCTTGCAGCCATGCAGTTTGGTCAGCTGCTAACACACTTGGACACCACACAGCAGATGATTGCTAGTTCCCTCAAGGACAACACCACCCTCTTGACCCAGGTGTGTGCCCCTCTATTAGTCTGTAGCCTCCCTTCGCTAGCACAGACTAGTGGGTTCTGCCTTGGCCCATATCGTAGCACGTTATTGTGGCAGGGGTTTGCTCTGTCTACTGTGTTTCAGTGGTCATGGGACCTTTGACAACTGCTTCACCTGGGATCTTCCATCTCACCATCGGGAAAACTATACCTACCTCAGGGTTGTGCGGATTAGGTGAAACACCAACGGGTGAATTGTTAGGAGTCCAGTGAACTTCAGTTTTTCCTGTAACACCTACCCCGTCCTCATCCAAATGCTCCTGTATCCAGAACACGGCACACCGGGAGGAACATGGACTTTGAAGTCAACAGCCAGGCTCCAGCCTAGTTCTGCCACCTCTTCTCTGACACTGGGCAGAGCCTCACGTTCTTCATTCTTACCAGTGCCCAGCACATAGTCCTCAGTTTCTTTGGAAGGCACTGTTTTCAGTGCTGAGGGCAGAGTTAAAGCTGAGAAGCCCAACACGATAGGACCGTCAAGATAAATGAAAAAATATATCAAGTACAGTATGTCCTTCCTGTACACGGCAGTTTCCTTAAGTTTTGAGTCCATAAAAACCCTCACTTCAACAAAATCTTACATGTCCCTCATCACGTGAAACAGATCAAAGAATGGTACTGCCTGAGTCCTGCCTGCGTGGCAGATCCTAAGCTGGGTCCATCGGACTCCAGCGGTATTTAAAAACTGCTGCTCTAACCTCCCTGCTCCAGGGCCCGTCAGCTAGGCTTTCATGTCTCTTTTGTCTTCTCTAAGAGAACTTCTCCAGGTCCTCATCCAGGTGAGCACCTGGACCTGACAAAGAGTAAAACGTCTCGTTATTTTCTAGGTGCAGACCACCATGCGTGAAAACCTGTCCACGGTTGAGGGGAATTTTGCCAACATTGATGAACGGATGAAGAAACTGGGAAAGTGAGCACCTTTAAAAGATGCGGAACAGGGGTAATCCCTACCCCTTTGAACTCTGTTAACAGCTTATATAGGGTTTCTCCTTCATTATAACTCTCACATCCCCATCCCATTTGACACTGGGGGCAAGGGGTTCTTCTTGCATGTGGGGTTTACACCCCTCCTCTGATGAATACAGACTGGTAGTGGGGGGGGAGGGACATGACACTGTGGTCTCCCCTCAGGCCTCGGGGACACGGGCCCAGCCACATGCCAGCTCCTGTCCAGTACTGCTTTGCCTGGGGTGGGGAAGGATTGGGCCCGGTCCTCCAGCACAGCTCCTGTGGCTGGTTGTAATACTGTACAACTGTTTCTGACCATTAAATGCCGTTGTACTCTGCGTGACCCCTGCTGTGTTTCCTGGGGAAGAGGCGGCACTGAGACAGACCTTCACAGTGTAACAGGCAGTTTAAGCCACTCTCCACTAGTAGAGAATTTAAATTGTAACGTGTTCTTAAATTAAGGAAAAAATGAGTACAGAGTCAGAGCCAGAGTTTCAAAATATTCTCATCTGTTAAATTAAGAGTGTCTCCCATAGAAAAGCAGTGGAGGCCCCACAGGGCAAGTACAAAACAGAATTAAAACTCCCAAGGGTCTTGTCTTTACAAAAGAAAAGGCAGGAGGCAGCCCCTGGACAGCGGGTCGTGCTGGCCGCTCCGGTTGGACCACGGTGCATAATCCTCAGTCGCATCATCACAACGTCTCTGAGCGTTTCGATGGGGGGAGAAGGGGCAGTGTAGTGTGTGTGGGAGGAGAGGCCCAGAGGGCTCTCTGTGCCCCCTTACCCCCTTTTATATCCCAGAGGAAAGTAGAGGGAAGCTGGCTACACCTTGAAATGAGGCTATGTGTTTCAAACCTGGGGACAGGGGTAAGAGGGGATCTGTGCTTTGAGCAACCTGAGCCAGACGCAGAGGGGTGTTGGAGGGGTGAGGGGGGAATGCATGATGCTTATTGCTTTGTACCTTTCACTGGGAAGGAGGGCAGCAGCCAACAGTAGCTCACAGGTTTGTAAACTGAGCCTGCTGGCTTCAAGAAGGGAGGCAATGAAGTCGAATTAAATATAAAAGAGTCATTTGTGCAAAAATAACTTAAACAAATAAAAGACCTGGGGAAGGGGGTGTTCCCCTTAGCCTGGTGGGGAGAGGGCCATATACCACCCCCCCCCAGGCCTTTTCAGTGACATGGCTTTGGGGGGGAGGGGGTGAGCTTCCCTACCCCCTGCAATGGCTCAGGATGGGATTGTAGGGGAAGGGGTTGCATTTGTGCTCTGAGTGGGGAGTAGTGCCCCCACCCACTGTCCACAGGTGCAGGTGGCTGGCAGGGGCTCCCAAGGCTCAGCACTCAGCTCTCCCCAGTCAGGGTCAGATCCAGCTCCAGGTATGGCTGCTAAGGGGCCAGTTTCCTCCTCTTGTTTTTGGCAGGACGGCCAGGGCGGGCCCGGGGAGGCAGAGGGACAGCCGCCTATACAAGAGGGGAAGTTGAAAGAAGTGATCAAACAGCTAGGTATTGGGAAGTCTTTTATTTTCTCCCCATGCCCTCTAATCCTCTTCTCTTGCCTCGTCCCTTACAACCTCCCCCCATTCCCCCCACCCCGCAACCCTGACACACACTTACGCGGGTTGTGGGGCTGGGGTCCAAGGTAACGTCCTGGCGGGAGCTATTGCTGTTCCGAGCAGGGCTGCAATAAGGGCACAGATGATCAGGAATACCTCCCCAAGCACCAGGTGAAGCTCAGAGTTTGGGTGGGAAGCTTTCTACTTTTGGATAATAAAGGCATAATATCCTGTTCATATTTAAACATGAGCCTTATTGAAAGCCAAGCCACTCTAGACATTTCTATAAACCCATCAAGAAGTGGGAGAAGGCCAGGACTGTGGCAGGCCCAGCACTCACTTGTATTTTCTCCTCCGGCCACGACGAGACTTTCTGACTACCCCTGGGGGCACCTGGGAAAACACGGACTGTATGTGTAGGAAAAGTTAGGAAAAGGAACCAAGTTCCCAGTCTTTCCTCAGAGCCCTTCAGCCCAGACCTCCATCACCCTGCACTCACCTTAAGGTCCTCAGAATGGGGTCCAGGAGGGGATGGATCCTTGGGTTCAACACCCCCTTCAGCCAGCTCCCCATTATGCTGCCAGTGATGGGTCCTTCTTGGGGACCGTTCCATTTGTCCATTGAAGCCACCACGTGCCCCCCACTTGAGGGCCAGTCGGCCAGGCTCCCGCCGGCTACCAGGCTTTCGGCCCCGGCCTGGCCTGGCCTCACCATTAATGCCCCTAAGTCCCCCTCCTCCCCTCCGGCCCCGTTTCCCTGACCCCCTCCCAGCGAGCAGCTCAGGGACTGGGGGGTCGGGAGAACCGTGGGGTGGGGCTAAGGCACTGAGGGGAGGCCGGGCAGGCTCCGGTTCCAGGGCTGAGGTGGGGCTCTGAGGGGGCAGACAAGGGGCTTCTGGCTGCTCTGGAGGAATCTGCAGGCGAAAAAATAAAATCTTAGTCCCAGATATGGTTACTCTGCTACTGTAACTCAGAAAGTCGTACATCCAGTTTGGGAAAAAATTCTGTCCCTGATACACACATGCCCACAGGCTCACCTGGAGACTCTGTAGCAGGCAGGCTAGGGGACTAGAAGCCTCTGAGAGGGGTGGAGGAGCTCCCCCCCCAGGGAGGAGCTGCAGCCCCAACTGGCCAGAGAGAAGAGGGCCAGGAGGCTGCAACAGGCTGGGGAGGGTTCCAGGGCTGCTGGTCAGCGAAGACAGATCACCTGTTGAGGAGTTAGGTCAGGAGTCTCCCTTGGCAAACCAGTTAGGCTGAACAGACCCTATTAATCTTAGGCTTAACCCCAGGGTCAAAAACTCTTCCCCAACTCATCCAGCCTCTACTCCCAATTTTTACTGGTTCCTTTCTTCTCTTTCACACCAGAGTTTTCCCTCAGGCTCACCCAGCAGGCTGGCACTCAGCAGAGGGCTAAGGAGTTGGGGGGGTCTCCCTGAGTTGGAGGGGGCCTTGCCCAGAGAGGAGGCCCCCGGGTCAGTAGTTGCCGTGGTGACACTGGAGGTAGGTGGTCCAGGTTGGGGGGCACTCAGGACACAGGGCTAAAAAGAAGAATGACAACACCATATGCGTAAAGTATTTAACAAACGTACAGTACTTTCACGTATACGATCTCACTGAAGTCTCACGTGAAGTAGGCCACGCTTATTAAATACAGACCCAGTTCTTGCAGCCATCCTACCCCCAGCCAAGAACTAAGCCCTCCCCAAAGGCCCTGAGGAAGAGCTCAGGCATGAAACTAAAAGCCTTTGATTCCCAGCTCCCATCTCTGATTCTACCTCTTGTTCTGTCCCATCCACTCCTCCCCTATCCTCACCTGGGGGGGTGTCCCCGAGGGGGGATCCAGGCTGGCAGCCAGCAGCGCAGAATTTAAAGCTATGAGGGTAGGGGGGGCTGAAAGTGGGGG